AATGCTGCCAACAAACGCACACTAGACACGGATACGGTGGGTGCAAACAATTCTCCAAAATCAATCGAAGCCCGCTGCATGTCCCCTCGCGCTACAAGTCTCGCCTTGAATTTCGTCGGCCATCCGTACTCGTCTGCCTTACAGTTGAAAACCCACTTGGCGTTGATGAAGTTTTCTACTGGTTGCTACACCAGACTGAAAGTACCTGCATCCAGCAGACCGAAAAACTCCCGACCGACTGCATCATCCCACAAGTCTGAATGTTGAGACCGCATGGCCTCCTTGAACGTTTTCGGCACTCGGAGGTCGCTGGCGAGGCAGTGAGGAANAAGCCCTCTGCATGTCCCCTCGCGCTACAAGTCGTGCCTTGAATTTCGTCGGCCATCCGTACTCGTCTGCCTTACAGTTGAAAACCCACTTGGCGTTGATGAAGTTTTCTACTGGTTGCTACACCGGACTAAAAGTACCTGCATCCAGCAGACCGAAAAACTCACGACCGACTGCATCATCCCACAACTCTGAATGTTGAGACCGCATGGCCTCCTTGAACGTTTTCGGCACTCGGAGGTCGCTGGCGAGGCAGTGAGGAAGGTCCGGCGTCTTGTCAGGAGGGCGCTTGGCACGAAGAGTGGCTTCCACATCCTCGCGGGTGGCGAACATTGCTGCGAACATGTGCAGGCCCCCCGGCCCCCCAGCTCCTGCGGCCCCCCCGCTCCGATGGCCTGCTAAACTCGTATCTTGCGGCGGTGGGGGAGCGGGAGGGGCGATGTTGGCGAACGGTGGCAGGTCTCGACGTCCTTGGTCGACGGCTTCCCGGGTGGCGAGCGACGAGACGAGCGCATTCTTGCCCATCATCGATAGCAGCCCAAGGCGGTGTTGGAGAGCGGTGCCGCCACCTGACGGCGACGGCGGTTGCTGTTGCTCATCCATGAAGCGCACTCGGTCGCCGCGCGTACGGCCATGTACCCTGGTTTCCTTCTCGCCCAACTCTCTGGCGGCTCGCTGTGGAAGCAGCGGGCGATGGGGAGCGGGAGCGGCGGCGCCTGCGTGCGGTGGTGTCGGCGGTGGACGGGGCGGCGTGGCTGCGGTGGACGGCGGTGCACTCGACGACGCCGTGGATATCGGCGACGGAGCTCCGGACCCTGTGAAGATCGACGGAGAAGCTGGCGGCGGTGAAGCGGGCGGCTGCGTAGCGGTAGTCGCTGTGGGCGGGGTGTGGGTGTACGTCCGCGATGTCCATGGCGGTGGCGGTGCGGCAGCGGCTGTAGGAGCGGCGGCGGCCGGCGAGGGCGCCGCGGTGACCGAAGAACCCCCCCCGCTGGCCGGTACCGGCGCCGGCACGGCGGTGCGGCGGTTGATCCACACGACGTTGTTGGACAGGCAGATCCTTCCGGTGTCGGCGCGGAGTACGACGGCAGTGGCGTCGGAGTGGTTGCGCGCTCCGTGCAGGTAGAAGCAACGAACGGATTGGACGTCCGCCTTGCTTGCGCGCTTCACGCGCATCATCCCCTACTGGAAAAAGGGGACGACCTTGAGCGGCGGTTTGCGTCCGAAGAAGCCCTCGAACGGCGACACCCAGGCCAGGTTGGCCGACGTCGCGGAACGGTTGAAGCAGCCGGAGGCCCAGATCGCCGATGCAAGCCACAGCCGGTGTCCGTTGGCGTCCATACCGGGGATGGAGGCGAGGTCGAAGTGGCCCATGGAGAGGACGTGGCGGCGGGCGGCGTGGCCCCCCTTCATGGCTCGCCAGATGGCGCTTTCCACGACCGCATTCTGCTTCGGGGTGTCGGGCGCGGTGTACTCGCGCCGGATGCCAGCGGCGTCGCAGAACGCGACGAAGGCAGCACTCGTGAACTCCCCCGCGTTGTCCATGCGGAAACACCCCAGAGGGCCGTTGCCGTTCAGGTCGGCGAGGAAACGCCGCGTGTACGTCAGGGTGTTGCCCTTGGCCCGCATGCCGTACGCCCGTTGTCACCGCGACGCACTGTCCACGAACATGATCAGGTAACGCCTCAGAGTACAGGCCGGTGATGTCGATGTGCACCTTGCCGAACGGTACCGCCGCGCGGGTGACTCCACGCCGCGGCACCGGGGCCCTCCTGCCCTTCGCCTCGATGCAGCCGACGCATGGCTGCAGTTCCCCCACCAGTTGAACACCCTGCTGCTCGGCGGTTTCCCTCATCAAAAATTCATTCACGTGGCCGGTGGAAGCGTGGAACAAATTAATGTCGATGGTGGACGTGGGTTTTCCTACAGTGAACGCTGGACCACCGGGGGCGATAATCGCCAAAGCATGAGAAAGGGAGGGGGGACCTACATGTTGCTGCGCACGGCACTCGGCAACGAAGTCTCTGAGCACGTCCAACTTATCTTGCATCACAGCGAACGCAACGGGGGGCTTCACAGACTCACACACGCCTAATGGGTCGGGATAAAAGTCACCCGGTGGGACCGAGTCTTGTCCGTTCATCAAGCCTACATCCAAGAACATACTCATGTCCATCAAAGGCAAATTACCCTGGGACTCAAGGGGCATGATCTCTATATCTTGCGACACATTCGGATTCACGACTGAGGGGGACAGGACGTCGCATGAGGCGATGGCTGCGGCTAGGACAGGCTGAAAGTCTCGGATCGACGCAGGCACTACATCACAACATCGATAGACGGGGAAACATCACGCTGAGGTACTACACCGGAAGTGGTGGACGGGATGCTCGAAGCCGAAGGTACAACACCGGCAGTACCGATGGACGGGAAGCTCGAAGTCGAAGGTACAACACCGGCAGTACCGATGGACGGGAAGCTCGAAGTCGAAGGTACAACACC